CACGAACAACGTGGACGAGTCTCAAATACATGAGGCTGAGTAAAAGGAGCCAGACCCAAAAGTCTCCGTACTGTATGATTCCAAATATATGACATTCTGGAAGAGACAAAACGGTAGGTCAGAGAACAGAGCAGTGAGTGCCAGGGACCAGAGGGTGAGGGGAGAGGATGACTACAAAGGGGCAGCACAGGGAAACTTCTTGGGGTGATAGAGCTGTTCTGTCTTGATTGTGGTAGTGGTTGCGTGACTGTACCTTTGGCCAAAACTCATAGAACTGTTTTATAAATGGTGGATTCTACTGTATGTAAATTATGCGTCAATAAATCCTAACTCATTTAGTGCCATAGTAAGGCCACTTCCCCCATTCCCCACTCAGACTAACCATTGCTAGGGAACCCCTGGGGACCTGAGCCAGGGTTCCCAAGCTCAAGAACTGGTCCTGCCCTTTCTGAAGGGACTGTTCATCAGAACCACTGGTGAGCTTTAAAATGCTGATGTTACAGCCCAGCCAAATGAGGGGTTCTGATTTAATGGCCTTGGGGTGCAGCCTGAGCATTGGGAGTCTTTCAAAAGCTTCCCAGGTGATTTAAATGACCGAGACACTGAGCTCCCTAAGAGCAGGGCCTATGATTTACTCCACTTTGTATTCCCAGATACTCCATAAATATGTGCATTGCAGTGCATAGAGGCAGACAGCACAGAGTGAAACGGTGAACGCCTGTAATAATCACATGTGGCCACCACTGCTCTGAGTGCTGGACCCCCTCCCCCGCAGTCCCCAGGAAGGTAGGACCATGGTTAGCCCCCTTTGCCAGGTGAGGAAACCCCAGCCCAGAGTAATGAAGTCTCACCCAAGACAATATAGCCAGTAAGTGGCAGAGCTGTGTGGAGGCCTGGACCCACTAACCACTGGGGATACTGCCCCCCCAGTGCTGGCTACGGGCGGACTTTGGAATAAGACGAGCCAGGGTTTGAGTCTGGGTTCATTATCTACAGTCTGGTTGACCATGGACAAGTTATTTAGCCTTGACTGGTTTTACCTTCCTCATCTGTATGTAAAATGTGGACAGTCGAACCGATGCCAAAAGGCTGTTACTGAATGAATGAGATGACGTGTGCCCAGTGCTGACTGCATAGTAAATACTCAATAATTCTAGCAATAATGAATGTAGGAAGAAATGAGTGAATGAATGAGTGAATGCCATTCCTGGAGCCCCAGGACCAGGAGGGAAGGCAGGGAGGGGCAAGGTCTTCCGCTGACTCAGGGTCCACGAGGCCCTCCAGAGATGCCCCCACCCTGGCATTTGCCAGCCTTCCCTCCCCCCACCCCCAGCTCCCCTTCCAGGGTCAGGGCACGTGGGCACCAGAGCCGCCAGACTGCTAGGGGAGCCTCCAGCCTTTTAGATGTAAGGAGCTTCAGGAGTGAAAATTTGAACCCCTTAGAGTCTTCCCTTCCTGATGTAGACCATGAGCCTGGGACAAACAGGGTCACTGTGTGAGCAAAGCCAGGGTGAGATGCAGCCAGGGAAGGGCAGAGACTCCCCCAGGCCACACGGGCCTCTTTGAACTCCCAGGAGAGAAGCCTTGAGGCTGGCACCCTCTTGGTGTCCATGGCTTTCTGGTGGGACCCTGAGTTCTGCCAGGTCCAGGCTCCGCTCTACCCTCTGGTCACTGCACGTTTCCACATCGTCACACTCATTCATGGAATAAGCACTCCATTCCAGCCAGTGCTTCCAGGTTGCGTTTCCCAGCGGCCGCTGGGGTACCCAGCCTCTCGGCTCTGGCACTGATGCCTAGTGATCCCACATGGTGGCAGCTCAGGATCCCGGGAAGGAGGGCAGGGTGGGTGAGTTTTCCTTTGGTCCTTTTTTTTTTTTTTTGCGGTACGCGGGCCTCTCACTGTTGCGGCCTCTCGTTGCGGGGCACAGGCTCCGGATGCGCAGGCTCAGCGGCCATGCCTCACGGGCCCAGCCGCCCCACGGCATGTGGGATCCTCCCGGACTGGGGCACGAACCCGTGTCCCCTGCATCGGCAGGCGGACTCTCAACCACTGAGCCACCAGGGAAGCCCCTGGTCCTTCTTTTATTGTTCCCTTAACACAGGAAAGACACTTTTGTTCTTGTGATTATAGAATAATACCTCATATTGAAAAAACATTCAAATACCACAAGCATGTAAAGAAGAAAGCAAAACAGCCACTTGTAAAATGCGTCGTGGACCCCTTTAGTTGGTGCAGATGTGAAGTATCTTCATCCACAGCCCAGTGGGCTGGAATGCTACCTCTTCTACCCCAAGTTTTACTCAATCATCGTTGCTTTGGTTTCCTCATCTGTAAAATGAGGATTTGGTATAGTGTCTACTTCTAATGCTATTATGAATTAAGTGCAATCATCTCCACCAAGGCCTTAATCCAGTGCTTGACACAGAGTGAGTGTTTTAAAATGTTAGCTCCTTCTGTAGTTATCGCCCACTTAACACCTCACAGGCGTCTTCCTAGGTGAGTTCATTAAGATTGAAGCCTTCTCATTGAACAGCGGCACGGTTCTCCACTGTGTGTACGCAGCAGTTTGCCACAGGTTCCCTCTCCGTGGGCGTGAGTTCATTTGCTGAGTCTCCTTTGGATGGATATTTACAGTTTCCAGTTTGGGAGACTAGTGTAAATAATGTGCGTGAGTCTTGTCACACTGATTTGTCTCCTTGGGGTAAATTCTCAGAATTGTAACTGCAGGTCGAAGGGTTAGAATGTTGGGGTGTGTGCAGCTAGAATGTCAGGGTACTAATGCCTAGAATTTGGGCATGTGCACAGTTCAAATGTTGGACCCCTTCCTTCCGTTTCACACACACGCTTTAAACCCCGTCTCTGGATGACAGCTCTCATGTTTACAGCCCCAGCCTAGACCTGGTGCCTGAGCTCAGATACCTGACTACTGGCCGAGGCCGTGAGTGGGCACCTCAGCTGTAACTCGTCCATGTGAGAGCTCCTGGTGTGTCGCTATCCCCCAAACTGCCCCTTCCATGGTCTCCTCATCTCAGTTAGTGGCAGCTGCACCCCACCACCTTGTTCTCAGGTCAGAGGCCTTAGAGTCACCTTTGGCTCCCTCTTTCTCTCCCACCACATTCATTGTATAGGGGAGTCTCCTCCACTCTACCTTCAAAATATACCCAGAATCCTAGCCCTTCTCACCACCTTCACTGTTCCAACCCTGATATAAGCCTCCTTCTCTCTCACTTGATGGTAGTGGCAGCCTCTCAACTGCTTCTACCTTCATTCCTTTCAGTCCATTTCAACAAGCGGCAGGAGGGAGTCTGTTAAAACAAATCAGATTCCCCCCAAGACTCCCCATCTCATTCAGCCCTGCCTCTACTGACCCCCCACCCTTAGTTTAGTGATGATTTGATGTCTTCTCCTCTGATCTCCTTCCTGCCCACTCCACTTCAGCCACACTGACCTCCTCACTGTTCTTTGCATGTACCAAGCAGGCTCCCACCTCAGGACCTTTGCACTTGCTGTTCCCTCCACCTGGAATGCTCTTCTCCCAGACATCTGTGTGTTTCCCTCCCTTTCTTCTTTCCTTGATGTTGTTTTTCAAACATGTGTGTTTTTCACACACACATCCTATTCCCCCTCTGCTCCCTTTCTTGCTTTTTTTTCTTCCACTAGAGTGATGAACCATCCTGGTTTGCCTGGAACTGAGGGGTTTCTTGAGACTTAAGACTTTTACTTTTAAAACTAGGAAAGTCTGGATGGTTTGTCACTCTATTTGAGCACTCATCACATCTGATATGTTCTACCTTTTATGTATTTATTTTGTTGAATAAGAATATAAACTCCATGAAGGCAGAAATGTTGTCTGTCTCCTTCACTGCTGTACCCCCAGTATAGGTACTGCATTTGGCTCAAAGAAGATGCTCAACAAATATTTGTTGAATTAAGGAATGAACTTATGGCCAGGTCAGCCTGGTCCCCAGAGAGATCATGCCAATTAGGTTTTCTTGGGCTTTAAAAAATACCCTACGGGGCTTCCCTGGTGGCGCAGTGGTTGAGAGTCCGCCTGCCGATGCAGGGGACGCGGGTTCGTGCCCCGGTCCGGGAAGATCCCACATGCTGCGGAGCGGCTGGGCCCGTGAGCCATGGCCGCTGAGCCTGCGCTTCCGGAGCCTGTGCTCCACAATGGGAGAGGCCACAACAGTGAGAGGCCCGCGTACTGCAAAAAAAAAAAAAAAACCCTACGGAAGGGAGGTGGCCTCAGGTTGGGGGGTGGGGGTAGGCAAACTGCTGGGCCTAGAAGGGGACAAAGATCTATGACTGGTCTGTCTCACCTTCATCAGGGGCAGAGCAGCAGATGTCTCACCTTCATCAGGGGCAGAGCAGCAGATGCTGCCCAGCAGCAGCTGGGCCTGATGGAAGTGGCTTCGGGTGTCAGGGCCCCGGCTGGGGTCCCTGGATGTGGCCTGCTGGTCATTGCCACCCCCTGGTGGTCTCTTATGAAGAAGCAGCCTCACCCACCAGCCAGAAATGCTCCTGCCCTCTCCTCCTGCTCCTACCTTTCCTCTCCTGTCTTTCCCCATTTCCTTCCCCCTTTCCTCTCCTTTTCTGCTCAGCCAATTGCTCTGCTACCCGATGGACAGAGCCTTCACCTTAGTGCACTACGTTAAAACCTGGCTCTGGCATCCACCAGCTGTGTGACCTTGAGCCAATGACTAAACCTCTCTAAGACTCAGTGTCCTCATCTGGAAAATGGGGATTATAAGTCCTGAAGGTAAAACAAGATAATCCACGTAGAACACTTAGAACAGTGCCTGCCTCAGTAGATGTCTGGTATTTGTTGTTATTATTAATCTCCTGCCTATAGCACTTGGTAGTTTGCTTGCTTTGTTCTTCGTCCGGATGACCTAGGCTGCGCATCAGACTCCCATGGGTACTCCTGAAACATACCCATGCCTCCCCATCCCAGACCAGTCAAATCAGAAATCTTTGGTGATGGATCCAGGCCTTGTAGTGTTTGAATTTTTAGTTTATATTTATTTGTTGGTATCTTTTAAAGCTTCCCAGGTGATACATACGTGCAGCCAGCCTGTGAACCACATTGGTGACCAACAGTCCTGGGTTACCTGGGACTTTCTTAGTTGTAGCACTGGAAGTCCCATGTTCCAGGAATCCCCTTGGCCCTGGGCAAACTGGGATGCTTCGTCATCCCCTCCCCAAAGGAATGAACCCATGTGTTCTGAATCTCAAATCAGGACACACGCTCTGAACACAGACGACTGGAAATCAATTCTTTGAAAGCTCAGCTTGGGGTGGTGGGTCAGCTGAAGTGTCAGCCCGTGTGTGGCAGGAGCAGGGCTCTGAGGGGGAGAGGGCCCCGCTGTAGCTTAGTCAGACAGGTCCCTGTCGTTGGGCCCCCCGGGGCTCAAGCCGCTGGCCGCCCGCTCCATGGCCTTCACCCAGCGATCCTTCAGCTCCTCGGTTTCGGCCTTGAAGGTGTAGAGCTGGCCTGACTGTTGCAGCTGGAAGACCCGGGGGTCCGCCTGGGGCCCAGCGGTCACCTGGTAGCCCAGCAGGGGGATGGAGGTGTGGGCCCTCATGTCCTGGGAGGGGAGGGCAGAACTGTGGGCTGCTGCCCTCCCATTCAGCGCCACTGCCTCAGACGGCTGTTTGGAAGGTACCAGGCACACACCTGCCTCTTGCCCCCCAAAAACCCATGAAGTGGGGTGGGGTGGCAGGAGGGCATTGAGGAAGAGGACTGGTCACCCCCTGAGGGCAAAGCAGTCATGACCTGGAGTCTGGGCCCAGCTCTGAAAGCCACTAACCCTGTGACTTGAGGGAACCAGGTCCTCATTGAGCCTCATCTGACTTATGGGGCCAACAGTACTCACCCCCACCGCCACCCCTGACACACACACATACTGTGAGGAGGGGTGGGGCGTGGCATTACCTGGGGGGCAGCGTAGACATAGAGCACGAGGGGGTCATCCCGCGGGATCACGCACCAGCCCCGGGACCCGCTTTTGCCCCACTTGTCCCCGAAGAGCTGTAGGAAGCTGCACATTAGGCTCTGCTCGGACCCCGCTGCAGCTCCTTTCTGAAACCAGAGAGAGGGGCTGTCAGGGAACAGAGCACCCACTACCTGACAGATGTCGGTCATTAGAAATCACTCTTTCTAAACCTTTCGGCAACGGTGCAAGGAGGTGTTATTTGTCCCTGAGGCTCAGAGAGGTCCCATCAGGGACTTGCAGTCACAGAGCTGGCCAGTGGCAGAGCTGCAGTCAAACCTCAGCCAGCCTGACCTCTGCGCAGGTGCTCGGAGGGCTTATCCCCTGAGAGCTGCCCCAGGGAACAGAACTGGAGCCTGAAAAGGGGCAGACCATCCCCTCTCTCCAGGAGCAAAAGCTGTGTGGTATGGTCTAGTGATTGGGGAGGGCATGGGCAGGGCCGGGGCCTAGAAGAATGAGGGAGGATTGCAAAGTGGGCAGATGTCAGTGGAAAGGAACCAACTTGAACCTGGGAGCTGTGTTCAGCTGGAATAGGCTGGGGTCTTCTCCCACCTCCCAAGGACAGTGGGATGTCAACCTGGCTTTAATGAGGGAGTGGCAGAGGGGCGGGGGTAACCAGTGTCTAGGCTGGGTGCCAGTGCCCCAGAGGTGCTGACCAGCAGTGAGAGTGCCTGGGGCTGGGGGTGGGGAGTGGCTCAGCCCCAAGGACAGCAGAGAACATCTGTGGTAGAGATCAGAGAGCTGGTTCCTAACTCGCTGTGTGACCTTGGTCACTTCTCTGGGCCTGGGTCTCCAACCAGCTGGTCCCTGAAGTCCCTTCCAATTACAATGGAGTCTCCAGGCTGCCTCTTCCCTGCAGTGGGACTCTGACCTGCAGCCTCAGTATCCCCATCTGTAAAATGGAATCAGCCGCACCAGCTCTTTTCACCTCCTGGGACTGCTAGGGCAGGGCATGGGGATATGAACAGGAGTGGTCCAGAGGGGCCGTGCGATTATCGGATGAGGATGCAGAGGAAAGGTGGAGAGCCTGGGCCACAGCCTGGAGCCAAAAGTTGCTTCTATTTGGTGACAGGCGCAGCTCTGTTTTATTTGGCCAGGGCCGGGCCGGGGTGGGGGGGTGTTCCGTCGGGGGTGCTGTCTGTGGGCAGAGAGAGAAGGACGGGGAGTGTGACCACGGCAGGCTTGTTCCTCAGCACCGAGGACAGTGCCAGCACTTGGTGAGGCCGTGCACACATTTGCCTAGTAGAGGAAACCGGCCCTCACCTCCAGGATGCCACGCCTCTTGTCCTCCTTGTCCTCAGGGAGCACATTTCCGGTGAGGAACGTGTAGCAGTCTAAACAGACTCGGCTGGGCCTGTTGTCATCATATTTGAGCTCAGCCCGGTAGTCGGAGCACCTGGCACACACCACCTGGGGGAGGACAGGCAGGAGGGGCTTGGGGGCTGAGGTGAGGCACGGAGGTCCCCGTTCGTGCCTTGGCTCAGGAGGTGGGGACGTGAGAGCAACACGAGACCAGAGGAAGAAAAAGAAAGCTTCAGGAGAGGGATGGAGGCAGAGCTGGGCATCCCCTGCGCTGGCAGAGGCCCAGCCACCTGGAGGCTGCAGTGCAGGGGGAGAGGGCCCGCAGCTGGGGGCTTGAGGCCTGGCCCCCACTGCAGGAGCTCAACCTCTCTCCCTTCACGTTCCCCGTTGTGAGGGCAGCTACTGATCCCGGGGGCTTGACCTGTGCACACCCCTTGCATCTGATCACTTCTCTGAGCGCTCTCTCTCCCCTCTGTCATCTCACATGACTCCCAGCAACCCCACCAGGTGACCAGCCCTGGGACTTTTACTCTCACCTGCAACGAGGGGACAGTGACTTGATGAAGGCCACAGAGCTCTCTGGCAGCAACTGGCCCTCCTCAAACAGAAGGTGTCTTTACGGTTCTACAGTTTAGCATTAAGAGTCATGCAGATTTTGCAGTCCACCCAATCCTAGAGTCAAACGTGTTCTGATACAAAAATGATGGGCTGGCTGTTTCTGCCAGGAAGACCCGCCATGTGGAGTCTGTGGAGTGGCGCCCGGCCCCCAGCCCACCACGGAGACGTCCCCAAGAAGGCCATCACAGATCAGGCTGGGGAGATCGGGTGAAAGAGGCATGAGAAAACCTGGGGAGAAACACAGGCACTGCAGGATGTGACTTCCAGAAGACTGGAGTGTCACAGTGAGTCCAGGATGTGGGATTGGAAATGGGGGCAAGAGATAGAGACTTGGATGAAGGGTTATTCATCAGGTAGCCGGTCTGTGTGCCCAGCACAGCACGTGGCCTGGGAGGGAGCCACAGGGGAAGGCCTGGGCTTGCCCCACCATCACCAGGATTCCTGTCTGGCAGGCGGGGAGGCAGAAACTGGGCACCCAACCACGAAAGGATGACTCACAGAGTACAAACGTTCACACGGGCAGGAGAAACCCCAGAATCGGGTACCTCACACAGCCCCACACACAGGGCTTCAGCTACCTTGAGAATATTTTATTTTGTTTTTTATTGAGATTTAAAATTTTTAAATACAGTTAGCAAGTATTTATTTTCTCCTCTCGTCTACCAACTTTTTATTTTGAAAAATTTCAAACCTGAAGACAAGTTGAAATAATACAGTGATACCCCCACCACCAAATTCACGAATTGTGAACATTTTTGCCACTTTTGATTTATCCCTCTCTCCCTTTCTCTCTCTCTTTCTCTTTCTCTCTCTATACACACACACACACACACACACACACACACACATACATATATATATTTTTTCTGAACCATTTGAGTTTAAATTACAGTCATCATGTCACATCACCCTCAAATATGTAGCTGGTGTCTCCTAAGAACAAGGGCATTCTCCTCCCTATCTACGATGTCATGATCACACACAGGAAATTTAACATCGATACAATATTGTTACCTATATATGCTTCATAATCAAATTTCCCCCAATGGTCCCAGTAATGACTTCTGTTTCTGTTTTTCCCATCCAGGATTCAATCAAGGATCATACATTTCATTTAGTTCTCAGAATATTTTATTTCTTTTTTGTACCTGGAAGGCAGGTACATGAGTGTTGTTATATTGTTCTTTGTGCCTCTTTGTATTTCTTAACTATTTAAAATAATTTTTTAGAAACTACTTACAAAGTTACAAGCGTGAGTAGACTCAACTCTTGTTTACTGATGTGACTCACCGAAAATGGAAGCTAATCCCCAGATCCTTTCTATTTGGCTCTGATATGAAACTCACTTACACGAACATAGGTGTGTCCCAGTCCTAGAAATTTACTTTGTGTCCTGATTGCAGTTTAACACATTTGGGGACGCCTCGCTGACTGGCCCCAACCTGCCCAGCTGGTCTCCTCCTGTCCCCCGAGGTCATTAAAGACGGAGGTCATTAAAGGGCTTCTCTGTTTGCAGAGTAAATGGAGAGGGTTGTAATGTCAACAGAGAACAGCTCAAGTACAGCAAGTGCTTAAAAAGCAAAGCAAGATCTGCCCCTGATAACTGGGCCTGAGCTGACAAGAGGGAGGAGTGGTTCCTTCCTCAATCAGCTGGTGGCTGTTCCTCTGAGTGAGGCTGCCCAAGTGATTAAGGAGGGGGAAGGAAAGGGGGACAAGGAGAGGGAAGGGGGTGAACCTTCTTTTGTTGAGTCCTTACTACCACCCTGGAGGTAGGTGTTACTAATCCCCATTGTACAGGTGAGGAAGCTGAGGCTTGAACCTGGCGGGCAGAGTTAGCAGCAGAACCGAGCAGGTGCTGGAGTGCTGAGGGTTTGCCAAGAAGAGGAGGGGACAGTTAGCTGAGGTCGGTCAAGAAAAGAGGACGGTGAGGGGTGGGTGAGTAACAGGTGTGGGGCTGATGAGGTGGTGGATGAAAGGCCCGACAGGGGCTGAAGGATTTGGGTGCCCCCACCCAGGAACTGGAGACCATTTCCTGGTGCTGGGCCCTGGGGGTCTTGGGAAATGGTGGTGAGGAAGCAGACGAATGAATAGGGTCAGCTTTGGGGAGTGTCTTGAATAGGTCGCTTAACCTGTCTGAGCCTTGCGTCCTACCTGCAGAATGGGGCAAACACCCGACCTGCTTCACACGTGGGCACCATGAGGCCCCAAAAACAGGTAACTCACACGCCTGGCACAGTTAGCGCCCAGCACTTCTGGCTGTACTGGTTGAAGCGGGCAGGGTTGGCAGGGATGGGAGGGCAGGGCCTGAGCTGGGAAGGCAGAGGCTGAGGTGGGTACTCACGTAGCCGCAGGCCCGGCAGTGGTGGCGGCGGCGCATCAGGGCGTTGAAGGGCTCCTGGCAGCGCATACACATGGTCACCATCTTGTCACGGACCCACTGCGGCGCCCGGAGGCCCAGCTCCTCAGACTGCAGCTGTGGGGTGGCAGGGTGGGTACTTCAGGACCCCCTGTACCCACCTGCTTATGGCAGAGATCACGTGTGCTATGTTTCCCGGTGGCTTCCATGTGAAGCGGACTGGACGAATACAGACCACGTAAAGGGGAGGTCAGTTACTATAAGCCCTATTTTACAGGTGAGGAAACTGAGCCCCAGAGAGGTCAAGGGACTCAGCAAAGACACCCAGCAGGCCAGAGTTCAGAGCTCAGATGTGAAATCAAGTCACAGACGCTCTCCATAACTACCACCCCACCTGCCTTCCACCTTCCCTTGGTCTCACATTTTTCAGGCACTTTCAAAACCCAAACCTGGGCATGCGCTCACTCCCTCTTGCGAGAACAACGGAATCACGACTAACTGCTGAACAATCATCCACAGGAAGACAACAGAACTCGCCAGAAAAGATACCCCACATCCACAGACAAAGGAGAAGCCGCAATGAGACAGCAGGAGGGGCACAATCACAATAAAAGCAAATCCCATAACTGCTGGGGGGTGACTCACAAACTGGAGAACACTTATACCACAGAAGCCCACCCACTGGAGTGAAGGTTCTGAGCCCCATGTCAGGCTTCCCAACTTGGGAGTCCGGCCACAGGAGGAGGAATTCCTAGAGAATCAGACTTTGAAGGCTAGCGGGATTTGATTGCAGGACTTCGACAGGACAGGGGGAAACATAGACTCCACTATTGGAGGGCACACACCAAGTAGTGTGTGCATCGGGACCAAGGGGAAGGAGCAGTGACCCCATAGGAGACTGAACCAGACCTACCTGCTAGGGTTGGAGGGTCTCCTGCAGAGGTGGGGGGTGGCTATAGCTCACTGTGAGGACAAGGACACTGGCAGCAGAAGTTCTGGGAAGAACTCCTTGGCATGAGCCCTCCCAGGGTCTGCCATTAGCCCCACCAAAGAGCTGGGTAGGCTCCAGTGTTGCGTCGCCTCAGGCCAAACAACCAACAGGGAGGGAACCCAGCCCCACCCATCAGTAGACAAGTGAATTAAAGTTTTACTGAGCTCTGCCCACCAGAGCAATACCTAGCTCTACCCACCACCAGTCCCTCCCATCAGGAAGCTTGCACAAGCCTCTTAGATAGCTTCATCCACCAGAGGGCAGATAGCAGAAGCAAGAAGAACTACAATCCTGCAGCCTGTGGAACGAAAACCACATTCACAGAAAGATAGACAAGATGAAAAGGCAGAGGGCTAAGTACCAGATGAAGGAACAAGATAAAACCCCAGAAAAACAACTAAATGAAGTGGAGATAGGCAACTTTCCAGAAAAAGAATTCAGAATATTGATAGTGAAGATGATCCAGGACCTCGGAAAAACAATGGAGGCAAAGATCGAGAAGATGCAAGAAATGTTTAACAAAGGCATAGAAGAAAAAAAAAAAAAAAAAAAAGACCTAGAAGAATTAACAAACACCTAGAAGAATTAAAGAACAAACAAACAGAGATGAACAATACAATAACTGAAATGAAAAATACACTAGAAGGAATCAATAGCAGAATAACTGACGCAGAAGAACGGATGAGTGACCTGGAAGACAGAATGGTGGAATTCACTGCTGCAGAACAAAATAAAGAGAAAAGAATGGAAAGAAATGAAGACAGCCTAAGAGACCACTGGGACAACATTAAACTCAACAACATTTGCATTATAGGGGTCCCAGAAGGAGAAGAGAGAGAGAAAGTTCCTGAGAAAATATTTGAAGAGATTATAGTCGAAAACTTCCCTAACATGGGAAAGGAAATAGCCACCCAAGTCCAGGAAGCACAGAGAGTCCCAGGCAGGAAAAACACAAGCAGAAACACGCCAAGATACATAGTAATCAAACTAACAAAAATTAAAGACAAAGAAAAATTACTGAAAGCAACAAGGGAAAAATGACAACATACAAGGGAACTCCCATAATGTTAATAGCTGATTTCTCAGCAGAAACTCTGCAAGCCAGAAGGGAGTGGCATGATATATTTAAAGTGATGAAAGGGAAGAACCTACAACCAAGATTACTCTACCTGGCAAGGATCTCATTCAGGTTGAATGCAGAAATCAAAAGCTTTACAGACAAGCAAAAGCTAAGAGAATTCAGCATCACCAAACCAGTTCTACAACAAATGCTAAAGGAACTTCTCTAAGTGGGAAACACAAGAGAAGAAAAGGGCCTACAAAAACAAACCCAAAACAATTAAGAAAATGGTAATAGGAACATACATATCGATAATTACCTTAAACGTGAATGGATTAAATGCTCCAACCAAAAGACACAGGCTTGCTGAATGGATACAAAAACAATACCCATATATATCTTGTCTACAAGAGACCCACTTCAGACCTAGGGACACGTACAGACTGAAAGTGAGGGGATGGAAAAAGATACTCCATGCAAATGGAAATCAAAAGAAAACTGGAGTAGCAATACTCATATCAGATAAAATAGACTTTAAAATAAAGAATGTTGGGCTTCCCTGGTGGCGCAGTGGTTGAGAGTCCGTCTGTCGATGCAGGGGACACGGGTTCGTGCCCTGGTGCGGGAAGATCCCATGTGCCGCAGAGCGGCTGGGCCCGTGAGCCATGGCCGCTGAGCCTGCGCATCCGGAGCCTGTGCTCCGCAATGGGAGAGGCCACAGCAGTGAGAGGCCTGCGTACCGCAAAATAAATAAATAAATAAAATAAAATAAAATAAAGAATGTTACAAGAGACAAGGAAGGATACTACATAATGATCAAGGGATCAATCCAAGAAGAAGCTAAAGCAATTATAAATATATATGCACCCAACATAGGAGCACCTCAATACATAAGGCAACTGCTAACAGCTATAAAAGAGGAAATCAAGAGTAACACAATAATAGTGGGGGACTTTAACACCTCACTTACACCAGTGGACAGATCATCCAAACAGAAAATTAATAAGGAAACACAAGCTTTAAATGACACAATAGACCAGATAGATTTAATTGATATTTATAGGACATTCCATTCAAAAACAGCAGATTACACTTTCTTCTCAAGTACACACGGAACATTCTCCAGGATAGATCACATCTTGGGTCACAAATCAAGCCTCGGTAAATTTAAGAAATTGAAATCATATCAAGCATCTTTTCTGTCCACAACACTATGAGATTAGAAAACAGTTACAGGGAAAAAACACAAACACATGGAGGCTAAACAATACGTTATTAAATAACCAAGAGATCACTGAAGAAATCAAAGAGGAAATAAAAAAATACCTAGAGACATATTACAACAATAACATGACAATCCAAAACCTATGCGATGCAGCAAAAGCAGTTCTAAGAGGGAAGTTTATAGCAATACAAGCCTACCTCAAGAAACAAGAAACATCTCAAATAAACAATCTAACCTTACACCTAAAGGAACTAGAGAAAGAACAAACAAAACCCAAAATTAGTAGAAGGAAAGAAATCATAATGATCAGAGCAGAAATAAATGAAATAGAAACAAAGAAAATAATAGCAAAGATCAATAAAACTAAAAGCTGGTTCTTTGAGAAGATGAACAAAATTGATAAACCTTTAGCCAGACTCATCAAGAAAAAGAGGGAGAGGACTCAAATCAATAAAATTAGAAATGAAAAAGGGGAAGTTACAACGGACAGCGCAGAAATACAAAAGCATCATAAGAGACTACTACAGGCAACTCTATGGCAATAAAATGGACAACCTGGAAGAAATGGACAAATTCTTAGAAAGGTATAACCTTCCAAGACCAAACCAGGAAGAAATAGAAAATATGAACAGACCAATCACAAGTAATGAAATTGAAACTGTGATTAAAAGTCTTCCAACAAACAAAAGTCCAGGACCAGATGGCTTCACAGGTGAATTCTATCAAACATTTACAGAAGAGTTAACACCCATCCTTCTCAAACTCTTCCAAAATATTGCAGAGGAAGGAACACTCCCAAACTCATTCTATGAGGCCACCATCATGCTGATACCAAAACCAGACAAAGATACTACAAAAAAAGAAAATTACAGACCAATATCACTGATGAATATAGATGCAAAACTCCTCAACAAAATACTAGCAAACAGAATGCAACAACACATTAAGAGGATCATACACCATGATCAAGTGGGATTTATCCCAGGGATGCAAGGATTCTTCAATATATGCAAATCAGTCAATGTGATACACCACTGAAGAAGAAAAACCATCCATATGATCATCTCAATAGATGCAGAAAAAGCTTTTGACAAAATTCAACACCCATTTATGATAAAACTTCTCCAGAAAGTGGGCACAGAGGGAAACTACCTCAACATAATAAAGGCCATATATGACAAACCCAGAGCAAACATCATTCTCAATGGTGAAAAACTGAAAGCATTTCCTCTGAGATCAGGAACAAGACAAGGATGTCTACTCTCGCCACTATTATTCAACATAGTTTTGGAAGTCCTAGCCATGGCAATCAGAGAAGAAAAAGAAATAAAAGGAATACAAGGGCTTCTCTGGTGGCGCAGTGGTTGAGAGTCTGCCTGCCGATGCAGGCGACATGGGTTCGTGCCCTGGTCCGGGAAGATCCCATATGCCACGGAGCGGCTGGGCCCGTGAGCCATGGCCACTGAGCCTGCGTGTCCAGAGCCTGTGCTCCGCAACGGGAGAGGCCACAACAGTGAGAGGCCCGCGTACAAAAAAAAAAAGAAAAAGGAATACAAATTGGAAAAGAAGTAAATCTGTCACTGTTTGCAGATAACATGATACTATACATAGAGAATCCTAAAGATGCCACCAGCAAACTACTAGAGCTAATCAATGAATCTAGTAAAGTTGCAGGATACAAAGTTAATGCACAGAAATCTCTTGCATTCCTATATACTAACAACGAAAGATCAGAAAGAGAAATTAAGGAAACAATCCCATTCACCATTGCAACAAAAGTAATAAAATACCTAGGAATAAACCTACTTAAGGAGGTAAAAGACCTGTACTCAGAAAACTATAAGACACTGATGAAAGAAATCAAAGATGACACAAACAGATGGAGAGATATACCATGTTCTTGGATTGCAAGAATCAATATTGTGAAAGTGACTATACTACCCAAAGCAATCTACAGATTCAATGCAATTCCTATCAAATTACCAGTGGCATTTTTTACAGAACTAGAACAAAAAAATCTTAAAATTTGTATGGAGACATAGAAGACCCCGAATAGCCAAAGCACTTTTGAGGGAAAAAAACGGAGCTGGAGGAATCAGGCTCCCTGACTTCAGACTATACTACAAAGCTACAGTAATCAAGGCAATATGGTACTGGCACAAAAACAGAAATACAGATAAATGGAACAGGATAGAAAGCCCAGAGATAAACCCACACACCTATGGTCAACTAATCTATGACAAAGGAGGCAAGGATATACAATGGAGAAAAGACAGTCTGTTCAATAAGTGGTGCTGGGAAAACTGGACAGCTACATGTAAAAGAATGAAATTAGAACACTCCCTAACACCATACACAAAAATAGACTCAAAATGGATTAGAGACCTAAATGTAAGACTGGACACTATAAAACTCTTAGAGGAAAACGTAGGAAGAACACTGTTTGACACAAATCACAGCAAGATCTTCTTTGATCCACCTCCTAGAGTAATGGAAATAAAAACAAAAATAAACAAATGGGACCTAATGAAACTTAAAAGCTTTTGCAAAGCAAAGGAAACTACAAACAAGACGAAAAGGCAACCCTCAGAATGGGAGAAAATATTTGCAAATGAATCAATGGACAAAGGATTAATCTCCAAAATATATAAACAGCTCATGCCATTCAATATTACAAAAACAAACAACCCAATCAAAAAATGGGCAGAAGACCTAAATAGACATTTCTCCAAAGAAGACATACAGATGGCCAAGAAGCACATGAAAAGCTGCTCAACATCACTAATTGTTAGAAAAATGCAAATCAAGACTACAATGAGGTATCACCTCACATCAGTTAGAGTGGGTATCATCAGAAAATCTGCAAACAGCAAATGTTGGAGAGGGTGTGGAGAAAAGGGAACCCTCTTGCACTGTTGGTGGGAATGTAAATTGATACAGCCACTATGGAGAACAGTATGAAGGCTCCTTAGAAGACTAAAAATAGAACTATCTTATGACCCAGCAATCCCACTACTGGGCATATACCCAGAGAAAACCATAATTCAAAAAGACACATGCACCCCAATGTTCACTGCAGCACTATTTACAATATAGCCAGGTCATGGAAGCAACCTAAATGTCCACTGACAGACAAATGGATAAAGAAGATGTGGTACATATATACGATGGAATAGTGCTCAGCCATAAAAAGGAACGAAATTGGGTCATTTGTAGAGATGTGGATGGATCTAGAGACTGTCATACAGAGTGAAGTAAATCAGAAAGAGAAAAACAAGTATCGTATATTAATGCATATATGTGGAACCTAGAAAAATGGTACAGATGAACTGGTTTGCAGGGCAGAAATAGAGACACAGATGTAGAGAATAAACATATGGACACCAAGGGGGGAAAGTGGCGGGGGTGGGGGAGTGGTGGTGGGATGAATTAGGAGATTGGGATTGACGTGTATACACTAATATGTATAAAATAGATTAATAAGAACCTGCTGTATAAAAAATGAATAAAATTAAATTTTAAAATTCCAAAAAAAAAAAAGATAAATGTTGGGAGACAGTTCTCCTAGGGTCTCTTGTGTTTCCTTTTTTCTGGACTGTCTTTTCAAGCATCTTCCTATAGCTATCAGCCTTGAAAATAGATGTTGTCTCTCTAGAGCATAGGGCAGACATACTCACTGCACATTATAAAAGATTCAGAGACTGATTTGCTTTTGTTTGCTGACATAGTCAATTCTGATTCTTTCAAACTGAGGACCAGTCCCTGCCCTTGGAGCATGAATTAATAGAGATAAATAAAGAACTCTTGAAAGATAGCAAAAAAAAAAGAAAAAAGAAAAACCCAAACCTGCACACACACCACCCCCACAGCCCGAGTTATACATATAGATGTAAAATCCTTCCTAGCGGTAGTTGCACATAAAGCCTCCCAAAGGAATTTTTTGCTAATGGGGGAATCTTTGGCATTGAGTTTCTGAGTAGGGTGATGTTGGCGTGTGTAAGCTTCCCCTGATCCCTTCAAATCATTCATGGTGGGTGACACTCTCCAGCCCTCCAAGCTGGCCTAGGTAGAACAAAGAGAGGGAATCATTCCTGTGTAAGGCTGGCGGCTCCAGGAGGGATACAGAGCCTTCATTTACCTCCTGCTCCTGGGTGTCTCCCTCAGGGCTCTGGACCGCAGCTTTGAAGGTTTCATTCCGCTTCTCGATTTGGTCAATGGCCGCTTGGCAGGCCTGGGGCAAGAGGCAGAGCACAGGGAGGTGGTTGGGGCGCGGCAGGAAGGGCTTGCTCATCTGTGAATCCATCTACACATTCCACAAACATTGCTAAAAGCCTACTGGGTGCTAGGGGTTAGATTCTAAGTGTACATTGCCTGATTTAAGGGAGGAGAAAATATTAGCCCCAGATTACAGATGTGAAAACTGAGGCTCAGAGACATTAAGTGACTCGCCCCAGGCCACCCAGCTAGGCAGTGAGAGGCAGCAAGATTTGAACCCAGGTCTGACTCCAACTACTACAGAGCAACTTTGAGGAAGAACAGGGAGCAAGCAGGCGGGTGTGCGCACACACACACACACACACACACACACACACACACACACACACACACAGCATCCCTCTCTCCCCCGCAGCCTGGGTAGGGAGGTCAGAATCCTAGGGGCCCTGGAGCATTCTGATACCTGCAACCAGGAGATCATTTCCTCCTGGGACCTGCTTGGAAAGTGAACACAGGTGTTGAGGAGAGCAGCCCCTCCCAGTTTTCCCATCTCACCCGGCCCTCAGCCTGCCTGCCTACCGGGCCCGCAGCTCCAGGGTGCGCTGCTTCCCGGACACCAGGAAGGAGTGGGGGAACTCAGCGTCAGTCAGCTCCCGCACCTGCTCGGAATGGGAGGGAGAGACTGCTCAGACTCGCCCACCCGCCCCCCAAGTACTGTGGCAGGGAGGTAGGTGAACTGTGCCCCAAGGACAATTCAAATTAGAGACAAGGATAGGGAGCTTGTTCAACTGCTCCCTAATCCCATCAAGCCAGGCAAATGCGCCTGCAATCTGGCCTAACCCTGTACAGCAAATGGGACTTAGGGCTCCTGGAACCTTAGTAGATAAGTTGGCCCAGTGTGAGGTAGGGGTGACGGCTCCTGACAAAGGAGTCACCCAAAATGGAAACTGGGTCACAAATTGGGTTTGGGGACACAGCTTTTTCAAGATCAGATGTACGGCCTAGAACAAGACCCTTTTACCCCATAGAGTGAATGAAGGAATTGATCACCCAATTCACGGATCCAACAGACCCCCGCCCCACTTCCTGTCTTTTACCATCCTTGTCCCAGAACTCCACAGGTCCCGAGTCCGTTATGAAAGCCACCCGTCACAGAGCACTTACTATGCAACAGCCACTGAGCACCCCACACATGTTCTCATTTAATCAGCACAACTGCTGAACCCACTAATCAATTCTAATGCTTAATGGCCATCATGTGCCCCTGAAGGCAGTACCTGTCAACAGCTACAGTCCCCTGGCACAGCTGAATCTATGGTTACCTACCAGTTTACAAGAATTATGTGGGACCGAGGGACATGCTGAATGACACCACAGGGGTGCGGTCAGCAAAATCCAGACTGTGAGAAACTCTACCAGAGAAATGATCTGATTTCTTCAACTAATAAATGAGAGAAAAACTAGGAGAGGGAGGTATAATGGATAAAAGGGGACGTAAGAAGCATATTACAAATGATTCAAACAGATCAGCTGTGAGAAGACAATTGTGAGACAGTCAAGGAAAACCAAGGGATCTTAATGTTATTAACTAATTATCATTAATTTGTTAGATGTAAGAATGGTACTGTTGGCAACTTTTAGGGCAAAAAAAAGAGTTCTTATTTCTTAAAGAGACATACTGAAGTATTTATAGGTGAAATGATTATGTGTCTGAGATTTGCTCTTATATAATCCATTGGAAAAGGGGATTAAGAAGGGGATTGCTGAGTAAACCAGTTTTAGCCAGGTGATGAGTATATGGGGGTTCATTGTACCATTTTCTCAGCTTAAAAGTGTCCAGAATAAAAAGTTAAAGAAAATCTTCACAGCAGTCTGGACAGGTAGATATTATCACCCTCATTTGGGAGATGAGAAAATGAAGATCAGAGAGGGCAAGAGACCTGCCTGAGGAAACACAGCATCTAAAGAGCATAATGAAGATTCAAATTACGGTTTTTGGTCCCCAAGGGTAAAGCAGAAGCACATCTATTTCCACCCCACTCCCAGAGCCCAGTAAGCACAGACTTCTCCCAGGCAATGTGGAGACAGCGTCACAAAGGGAAGCTAAGATACAGACCTAGAGCCCAAGGGCCTAGCATGGAGGAACTTTGTTGTCACTGAATCCACCTGACATGTGGGCCCCTCTGCGGGCTCCCTGCCACGAGGTGACCAGGCCTTGGCACACTTTCAGGCGGCCCACCACACCTCAGAGAGCATGACTCTGGGAACATCCTTCCTCATGTTAGGCCTAGTCTACCTCTTGGGCCCACAGAACCAGTCCGTTCCCTCTAGAAGGGGCCTGATGTGATTTGCACTTGATACCCTTGACAATGGGGAGGCTCTAAGGGTTTATAAATGGAGAAGCTCATGTGGAGACAGGTGTTTGGGAAAGCCACTCCAGCAGCTATTTATAAGGGTCGAAGGGCTGGGAAAATAGGACAAACCAGCAGCCCAGAGGCCAGTTAGGGAGGGATACCCTGAGTGGTCCACGCCTGCCTGGAGAGAGAAAAGGTTTCTACCTGGGGAACAGTATCTGGAATCTGGCAAGACTCCATGCCTGATTGGGTGAAGGAGAGGGGAGCGAGAAGAGAAGGGAGAAATCTAAGGTCTGGAGTCCACGACCAGGAAGAAACATGATGCTTTTGATAGAAAAAGGGGAAGTGGGAAGAGTCCCTGACCTGAGGGACCACCTCTGCAGAGGGGCAGGATGAAGGTTTCTAGAGGACAATTCCCCGAGCTCCGCAATACCCAGGCTCAACCACCAGACTTGGCCGGTTCAGGCTCCTGCCAGCCCACACAGTGCCTTTGTGCTAATTAGAGAAAGACACCCCTTCCTCAAAACACTTTACTGACATCTGTTGGCAAACTGGCGTAACATTCAGTCAAGTATCTGGTTTGTTGAACCAGACACTTGACTGCCATCTGCCGGACAGTGAGAGCTGTAAATATGCAATCTATGCTGTTGTCTGTGGATGAGGTGTGCTCATCTTAGTTGAGGTGTGCTTGCACAGTGCACAACCTGCACAGTTGTCCATGGAGACGCTGAGTACATATGTACCCTTACCCCTTCCTTCTTCCCAGGCTGGCCCTGTACAGGATGGCACAACGATAGGACCAAGTCAGACCCTGGGGGGCGAATCAGCTGCTGAGAACTAGGCCTCCTTGACACTCAGGAAGAAGGAGGCCAGGGGGTCACGGCCAGTGGGAGCCATCATGGTGGTCAAAGGTCAGACCCGCCTCCAAACCTTAGACTCAGGAAATGATTCCTGCATAAATGCGGGTAGGTGGACAGCTCTGCTCCTGCCAGGCCCGTGCCATCCAGGAGTGGGCGCTGTGCGGCCACCAGAGCACCAGACATGCCCTGTAGGGACTATGTTCACTGGGACTGGAGATGCCAGGAACCCAGCACACACTGGGCCTGGGAGCCCTCGGCACATACCCTGAGCATCTGACACTGTCAGGCCCATTTCTATGTATTTTCTCTTTACGATAGTCTGTTGTGGTCTCCACATTTCTTGGCTTTTCTATCTGTCAATCTCTGCCTCTCTTTTTCTATGCCTGGGTCTCTGCCAGTCCTAAGACAGGGCTGCCTGTCTCCATTGCTCTGTCTTTAACTCTCCATAACCTGCCTTTCTCAGTCTCACTCACCAAGGCTCCCAGACATACAAGCTTGCACGCACCCTAGCCTCTGGGACATTCTGGCCACTTCAGTTAGGAAAGCTGGATGACGCAGGGTGGGGGGGCTGCATTCCTAGAGGAACTCAGTCAGCCGAGATGGGGGACGGGCTGTGAAGCCCCAGAAGGTGCCCAAGTACCTCCATCAGCCCTCATCACCCGCAGGCTACACCCCACCCCCAAGCCCTTGATTCAGCCCCAAACGCCAGGCAAGCCCAGTCAGCAGCAGGGGCAAGGCCCTCCTGCTGGGGGCTCTCAGAGGCTCAGGGGTTCTCCAGAGGCGGAAGTATCCTGGTTCGAGTTCTGCCTGCAGCTCTCTCCTGCTGCAGATCCTGGGAGATGGGTGAGGGGAGGGGGAGTCAATAGGGATAGGGAAGGGGGAGATGGAAGGGTACCAAGATAGGCCAGATCTGACCTCTGCTTCTTCCAGCCCCAGCCACCAGGACTCAGGAGCGATCAGAGGGGCTGTCAAGAAGTTTCCCCTCCCATTTCCTCCCCTATGCCTTCAATTCCACCCTATGCTTTATCTTTCCAGGTTGAAGCCTTAGTAGTAGATTGTATAGTATGCTGGTTAGGTACAGAGGCTCTGGACTCTGTTATACCTGAGTTTGATCATGCAAACCAGGATTTGCTGTGTGACCCCCAAGCAAGTTACTTAATCTTTCTGGGCCTTGGGTTTTTTTTATTTTTAAAAAAGACTTTTTTTTTTTAAGATCAGTTTTAGGTTCACAGCATAATTAAGAGGAAGGTACAGAGATTTCCCATATACTCCCTGAGCCCACATATGCACAGCCTCCTCCATTAATACGATTCCCCCACCAGAATGGTACATTTATTAGAATCAATGAATCTACACTGACACATCATTATTACCCAAGGTTCATAGTTTACATCAGGGTTCACTCTTGGTGTTGTAAATTCTGTGGGTTTGGATAAATGTGTAATGACTGTTATCTACCATTATAGTACCATACAAAATAGTTTTACTGCCCTTAAAATCCTCCACGTTCATCCCTCTCTTCCCCCAACTACTGGTAACCACTGATCCTCTTGCTGTCTCCATAGTTTTGCCTTTTCCAGAATGTCATATCATTGGAATCACATAGTATTATACATGGTATGTATGTATATATGTAGCCTTTTCAGATAGGCGTCTTTCACTTAGTGATATGCATTTAAGTTTCCTCCATGTTTCTTCATGGCTTAATAGCTCATCTCTTTTTATCACGGAATAATATTCCATTGTCTGGACGTACCACTTTATTTCCTTTTAAAAGTGGGATTAACTACAGATATACTTACACACAGGCATACTGTACACAGTTATTCACTGCAGTCTCATTTGCAGACACTGACAACTGAGAACAATCTAAATGTCTGTCAGTAGAGGATTGGCTGAACAAATTACGGTACATCCACATGCTGGGATGCTACGCAGCTATGCAAAAGGATGAGGAAGCTCCTAATGAACTGACTTCCAAGCACCTCTAGAATTAGTACTTAGTTAAAAAAGTCAAGTGCAGAATAGGGTATGTGAAAAATAGTCTCACTGTTTATGTGAAACAAAAGTAAGGAAGCCATAATGAATATATTATTAGTTTGTGTATGCAAAGACTACCTCTGGAAGGCCTCACAAGAAGCAAAGGCTGCCTCCAGAAAGGGGAACTAGGGGATGGGGTGTATATATATGCAATATATATTGCATATATTTTTGATATAGTTTGATTTGGGAATGTGTATTATCTATATTTTTAGGTAATAAAGTTATTATTTTTTAAAGATTTTTAAAAACCAAAAAAATGCAGGGGATAATAACAGCCCCTACATCACAGGGCTGTTAAGAGGATCCAGTGGGATGATTTAGGGCCCAACCCAACCCACAGTGACCGCCCAGTCGATGGGCACGACTATGGACTGCTGTGCTGTCTCCGCCCATTTGTGGCCATCTCTGGATGGGGACACACCCAAGTCAGCAGCTGAGCTGAAAGTGGAGACCCTTCCTACTCAAAGTATGGCCTGGGGAGCTGCAGTACTGGCATCACCCAGGAGCTGGTTAGAAATGCAGAATCTCCGGCCCCTCTCCAGACCTCCTGAATCAGAACCCACATTTTAACAAGACTCCCAGGGGATTCATGCATGTATTAAAGTTTTCAAAATACTGGGGTAGATGGTAGGGAAAGCAGAGCAAAGCTGGGAGCTGGGAAGGGCCCTGGACAGGACGGCTGGGAGGCCAGGTGGGAGAGATCTAACCCCAAAGCTTTTCCACCTTCATGTTGCCCCGGACCTGAGACCCAGGTTGGCCCCTCCTGCTACTCCGCATACTCGGTCCCACCCTTGGGGTAAAGCCCGAAGGTGGTTGGGGTGCCTCTTACCTTCATGCTGGCCACATCGATACGGGTCCTGACCTGGAATTGGGCGCCCACCTGGATGACCCTGGGCACACAGTAGAGCAGCATGTTGTTGAACTGCAAGAGACACAAGCATGAGTGTGTGCACAGTGGCAAGGGCAGGAAGGACAATCAGGCAGGCTTCCCTGGGCGTGGGCTGAGCCCCACTGGGTCTCCCTCCCCTCTCGCCACCTGCTGGGCCAGCTCACAGGACCTCACAGGTGTGATAAGGAAGTGGTTGTCTAGCCCCAATCCAACAGATAGGTCACTGAAGGACTGCCCTACCTGTGGGCATCAAGGGACCACATCAGACCTCAGAAACCTACGAGGCCTTTCTCACAGGGGCCAAGGGTGGCAGGGGCTTATGAGAGATTGTAGCTCCCTCCCCAAAACCTTCAGGTGGGACCAGTTTCCAGGAGACACCCTGGCTTCTTCAGTGCAAACCAGGGCAGTTCTTCCTAGCAGCCAACCTAATTCCCTCCTGCTGTACACTCTCTAGAGCATAGATTGATACCACAGGCTTTGGAGCCAGACAGACTGGGTTCAAATTCTGACTCTGTTGCTTCCCAGGGCATGTCTGGGAACCCCCTCAGTTAGAAATTCCTGAGGCCTGGAGGTAGCACGTGACTTGTCCCAAGTCACCTGGGTGCCAAAGTAGAGAAGGATAGAGAAGCAGGCTCGTCCCTGTTCGTCCTGCAGTGCCAGCTGGGTAGATGCCAGGCAGGCAGAACCTGGGGCAGAGGGCCCGTGGACTTCCCTCCCCAGTGTGGGGCAGGCCCCCCAGCATCCCCCTACCAAGAAAAGGTAGCGCTCCAAGGGGCCAATGCGGCGGAAGGAGATCTTGAGGACAGGGCCCTCGCGCAGCAGGGTGTTGGAGGGGTCTACTAGGTCGTCCTCCAGACCCAGGCGCTGGTATACTTCCCACAGTTCCTGCAGCCGCTCCTGGGGACAGGAGGTGTACCTTCAGCCAAGGCCAGGCAGGGCCTGCCTGCTTCTGGAAGGTTTGCCTTGTGTGGACAGGGACAGGGTGTGAGGGGGAGGTGGGCCAGGTGTCGTGAGGAAGGATCAGGGGATGAGGAGATAGAGAGACCTGGGTGGGTTGGGGGAGGCTGAGAGCTGCAGGGAGGAGGTGACAGGGCCCCTGGGGATGCCTGCTGCTTCTATTCCGAGGGCTGGGATGCTCACCATCTCAGTGATGGCTGCGTTGGAGTGCTGAGCGGCTGAGAAGATCATGTCAAGGGCTTCTGAAATGGGGGCAGGGCCAGAGTTACCCCCTGAAAATACGGGGCTTGTGGCTGAGGCAGGAGGTCCTTGAGGCTTAATCAAGTGGCCTCAGGGCCTGCCATGAGCACCCCCAGGAGCAGCCTTCCCCTGTAGCCTGGCACATGAGGTATTTGGATGATGGGGGCCATTTCCCACCCAGAGTGGAGAGACTAGAAGCCACCAAAAGACAGGGCTTAGGCCATTGGCTTCTGTGACTTTCAATGCCCCCCAGATCCAGAGGGTGAAGGCATGGTTTCAAATCCCAGCTCTGTTCCTTTTTGGCTGTGTGATCTTGAGCAAGTCACTTAACCTCTCTGGGCCTTAATGTCTATAAAAAAGTGGCTGATACTATAGACAATGTCTACGAAGTATCAGTGGTCAATGTTGATGGCTGATGGTCATCATAACCATTTTAGCAGGTGCTCCATAAATTATGGAAGTGGCTCGAACCTCCCCAACCCCCTAGATTCCCTGGGGGTGTCCTCACTCTGGGCATCAGCCAGGTCTGGGGCCTGGGCTGGCAGCTTCTGGACATACTCCTTGAGCAGCAGCTCGTAGCGTGGGATTCTCTGCACAGGTTCCAGCATGTGGTGCTGCAGGGTCAGGCTGCCCGAGGCCTCGCTGCTCTTGGGGAGGGAGGGGGGAGGGAGAGCGTGGGGGTGAGGGGGGAAGGGGTAGGTCAGGCTGCCCCTGAGGGTCGGGGGAGTGCGCAGCAACTGAGCCAGGGAGGTGGTCCAAATCACTGGGGAACCTGAGCCACTGCACACTGGGGTGGCAGTGCAAGCTCTGCCCCGCCCCCACCCCAACCTCACCTGAATGCGGGTGATAACCTCCTGGAAGGGTGGAGACTTGTCACTCCAGGTGGCCAGCAGCTCAGCGGCTCGCTCAAAGTTCTTGACATACTCACTGTACATCTTCAGGAAGGGGGCCAGCTTCTGGATCACGTCGCCAATGCGGGGGGTGGTCGTCCTGCAGGAGGGGCACCAGGTACTGCCCTCAGTCTGGGGACCTCTTCTCTTAACTCCAGACAGGGTCAGGTTAGGTAAGGCTCCCCTCACCCCCCAACACAGCCTTTCTGCGGCACTTCTGGGTGCAGGTATAGGGGGGCGTGTCATCCTCACACATGTGTGTGGTTCACTCCCCCTTAGACTGTGAGCCCCCTGAGGGCAGACGCTGCTCTCTCCCACGGATTGGATTCCCCCAAAGGCCCAGTACAGTGTCAGGCCCACAACAGGCGTTCAATAACCACCTGATGCTTGTTCATGTAACAATAACAAGGGCTACATGCCAAGCACTGCCCAAGATTCCGTGCATGTCTCATCTCATTTAATTCTCACAACCTTGCGTGCGGGAGGAGGGACAGTCAATGGCCCATCTTAGAGAAGAGGAAATCCAGGCTCAGAGAGGTAAGAAAAGGTCATTCGACCCAGGAACTGTTACAGCAGAGCGGTAAGGACTGACCATCTGGAGCTGGCCCGCCTGAGTCTGATTTCCAACCGCACCACTTACTCTAGCTGTGTGTTCTTGGACCAGTCACCTAGCCTCTCTATACCTTAATTTTCCCATCTGAAAAAACTGGGCATGATGGTAGGCAACCTCACAGGGTTGTTTTTTTCAAAAAAAATTATTGCAAAAAATTTTAAGCAATCATAAAATAAAAAGAATATAATAACGAACCCCTATATATCTGTCCCTGCACTTAACAATTACTAAGATTCTTTTTTAACAAAGAATTTTAAAGGACATCCCAGACATCATGGCATTTCTTTGGCAAGATACTAATTTCAGCACTAAATACTTTAGTAGTCATCTCTGAAAACAGAGAGGGGTTCCTGCATAACCACGATGCCATCATCACACAGCAGGCTGATGTGAAGATTAAGCGAGTTAATAGGTGTAAAGCCCAAGGCAGGGCAAGTAGGAAACACTCAGTTAGTGCTGGTTATTTCCACTGCCTCCTAAGTCACTCAGCCTAGTGAGGACCTGATCCATCCCCTTCTCCAGGACACACACACACACACACACACACACACACACACACACACGCACACACACACACACACACACACGCCTCGTCCAAGCCCCTCACTGTGCAGACAGAGCAAGCCCAGAAGAGGAGAGTCATGGTCACACAGCAAGGGCAGGGGCATAATAGGCCAGACCCAGTTCCCTGGGGGCTGCAACCGGACCTGACCAGGGCTGTGGTCAGGGGGCCTCAGGGGCTCCTGCTGGACCTCACCAGTTGTCCAGCCGCTGCTGCAGCTCTGGGAGGAAGAACTGTGCATGGAACTGGTAGATGGAGGCGGTGTTGGAGAAGATGAGCCTGACCACATCCTCGGGGAAGGCCTTGCTGCTGCGGGCCTCCTTCAGCAGCTCCTGGAAGAACACCTACAGCCGCAGCTGGGTCACTGGGCCTGTGGCAGAGAAGGACCTCCACCCCCAACACAGCCCAGGGGGAGACAAGCACAGTCCCAGGGGCTTTGGGGTCCCTCCCCAGCTTGCTGAATGCTTTCACCTCCTTAATCTCCCATCAATCTCACAAAAACCCTGGGAAGAGAGAGAAGCAGGGAAGATTGTATTCCAGCCACTTCACAGATGCGCAAACCAAGGCCTAAAGACACAGGGACTTGGCCAAAGGCTGGCAGCTGATGAGTGTCAGAAATGGGCCTATCTCATGTCTGTCAAGTCTTGGACTTCGCCAGGCTCAAGATCCCACTGCTGATGTTCAGTGATTTAACCCTCTCACCTTAGGGCTCCTTAAGAAAGTGTGAAGGGCTAACAATGGTGAGGATGTTGGGAGTTGGAATGACAGATGAGGATGCTGTGTGGGGCCTGGAAGGACTGGCTGGTGTGTTCTCCACTCCTGTGAGACCAGCCCAGGCACTAACGGTGGAACCAGGAGTGGGGCTAACGAGCTAAATCCCGATTTCTGCCTGAACTCCAGCCAATGGAGTTAAAAAGACTAAGGCTTCCTAGAATCAAACCCCGAGGTCCTAACTCTCAGCTCTTGTGAGGTGGGTCAGAAGGGAGAGCAGGGGTGAGGTGAGGACATCCAGGTGCTGGGGCTCAGGAGCGAGCGTCCTGGCCACTGGCCTGGTCTAGCAGGTGGAGGCGTGCCACATAGGCCTGCTCTGTCTCCAGCAGCTCCTGGACGATCCTCTTCTCCTCAGGCTCCTGCAGGGGAGTTGGGAGGAGAAGGAGAAGGAGAGCTTTGGTCTCCTCTGATGGGAGCAGTATCCAAAGATGCCCCAGTGAAACATGCCTCCCAGGATTCATGCCCTCCTGCAGCTCATCTGGGCTGGTGCTGGGATCGATTTAACTGAGAGGATGGGGCAGAGTGAGGCTGCGCCAGTTCTGGGCCTAAGTCGTAAGAGGCCTGGAAGCTTCCACTTGTGCTCTGTTGGGAGCCACGAACTACCACATCTGGAGGTCTAGCTGCCCTGATGGAGAGGCCACATGGAGAGGAGAGGCCCTGGGACTACAATGAGAGGGAGCCAGGGGTCCAGCCGTGCCTGCATCCCAGCTCAGGACAGCTTTCCAGCTGTCCCTGCCCAGGCACCAGGCTTGGGAGATGAGCTATCTTGGGCATTCCCACCCCGCCAACATCTGACTGCAGCCACTTGAGAGACCCTGTTATGGACTGAATTGTGTCCCCAGATCAATACATTGAAGCCCTAACCTCCAATGTGACTATATTTTGGAAATAGGGCCTTTAGTAATTAAGCTAATTGAGATAGAAGGGTAGAGCCTAATCCACTAAGACTGGTGTCCTTATAAGAAGAGGGAGGGACACCAAGAGAGCATGTGAACAGAGGAAAGGTCGTGTGAGGACATAGTGAGAAGATGGCCACCTACAAGCCAGGAAGGGAGCCTCACCAGAAACCAACCCTGCCAGCACCTTGATCTTGGATGTCCAGTCTGCAGAGCTGTGCGAAAATGCACTTCTGCTGTTTAAGTCACCTAGTCTGTGGTATTTTGCTATGGCATCCTGAGCTAAGACAAACTCCAAGTGAGACCAACAGAAAAACCATCCAACAGCATTCCAATCAACCCACAAAACTGTCAGAAATAATAAACTAGTTGGTCTCTACATTTTGGCGTAGTTTGTTATGCAGCAACTGATAACCAGTATACATAGTATGTACTACTATGATCACCATCCCCATTTTATAAATGAGGAAACGAGCACAAAGGGGTTAAAGAGATTTGCCCAAGGTCACACAGTAAGCAGAAGAGCTGGGACGTGTACCCTGGTAGTCCGGCTCCAGGGTGCACAGCCTCGTGCAGCCGAGCTCTTAAATTCCACAGACAAGAAAACTGAAACCCAGAGAAGGGAGGTGACCTGCCCAGGATGAGTCTGAGGGCAGGAATTAGCGCTGACCTCTATTTCTAGTTGGCACTGTTGCCTCCTTCAGTGGGTGAATGGAGGCCGCCCCTGGGAAAGGTACTAGGTTCCAAGTTGTGTGGCCTTGGACAAGTTCCTTAAGCTGCCTGAGTTTCAATTTCCATGCCTGAAAGACTCCTATAGTGAGGGGTATGAGAAATAATGCCAGCAGCGGGGCGCATAGTAGACACTTAATCAAAGGCCGTTAAGGGTGGGGTGGGTGTGAATCTAGCTTTCAGCTGATCTCTGGTCACACAAGACCCCACCTGGGGAAGTGCTGGCTCTGGCTGGGAGAGAATGTGGGGGAAGGAGGTCAGTGGAGGGGCCCCCACCCAGCTCCCCACTTCTACCCCTCAGGCACCTGTGTCCCGGGGCCAGGGCAGGTCCTAGCCTGGCAAGATTTCCTCCAGTCCCTGCTGGACAGCTTGTTCTTCAGGGAGCTCAGATACCTCCTGCTGATCGTCCTGGGCCCGGAGTCCACGGCCTCCTCCACGGTGGGCTTATCCCATGGCCCTGTGGGTGAAGGAGGCCTGCACCCAGGGTGGTGATGCCCAGCCTCCAGGCCGTGGACTCTGGGTGCTGCTCCCGGGGTCCTGAGGAGAAGACAGCAGACCTGAGGGTTTCCAGCCTGTAGAGTAGGGAGAAGAAGAGCACCTCTCTGGTGGGGATTTGGGGGCAATTAATGCAAATCACAGATGTTCACTGGCCTCTGAGTACCTAGTGCACAGGAAGAACTCACTGAGACTTCTACTTCCCTCCCCAACACCTCTCTTGGAGGGAACTCCAGTCTTCAAAATGAGTCAGTGTAGACTGTGTCTTGTTTTCCGGGGAACAACACACTTCCTTGTTTAAAATGCAGCTAGGAACCCTTCTTTTTGCACATAGAGGGTTTTAAGTGCCCTCCCAGATCACCTCGCCTGTGGACCTCACTCCTGGTTTTAAGTCTCTGTAAGCAGAAAATCCCCTAAAATCCCAGTAACTGATATATCGAGGGAAGGTGGGAGCCATGGAACACTCTAAAGGGAGGGCAGAGCTGATAAAGCTGGGGCTTTTCAGTGTGCACTACGCCCTGCACACCTCTAGTGGTGGGAAAAGCCAGCCTGGGATCAGTTTCCCTCTCCCTCCAGGGATGAGCTTTTGTAGTGTGGCTTTGTTATCCTACCTATTGGATTTGTAGGCCAGTTAAGTTCTTTAGATAACAGAGGCCACCATCAAGGAATATATCCAACGACTTGGGCTGGGACCCATTCCCTTTGGTGTGGAAGGGCTTGTGGTGACAGCACAGGGTGGGCACCCTTATAAGAAAGGCAGGCTGGGGAATGGAGGACCAGACAGGTACAAAATCTTCAAAACTCTGTGAGAAAGTTTCTCATTACCCCTATTCTGCAGCTAGGAAAAGAGAGGATCTTGCAGCAAGAGGGGGGCAGAGGTGGGATTCAGATCAGGCAGGCTGGCTCCCGAGCCTGAGCCTTAAACTGCCCCTCCGCATGTGAGTCAAGGAGAAACGGGTGCAGAGAGTCAACGTGACCTGCCCCACGTCACACCCTGGTTGGTGGCAGAGAGAGGATTGGGACCCAGTCCCCCATGGCTCCTCTCTGGCACTCCAGTGCACTACGGTTCCTCAGCGCACTGGTCTGGTCTGCAGCTCACGGAATTAGCTGAGTCTCAGGCTTTCTGTTCTACATTTGGTTTCAGCTTCTGCATTTCTCCCCAAGTGCCCAGGCCAGCTTCTGTTTCCTCTTCACCCCTCAGTTTCAGATCAGTTAAGGCACTGAAAGGAAGTGCCTCACAAGAAAGCTCAGGCCAAGGCAGCTGGCATGGGTCCCCTCACACAGTAAGAGGTGACTCTCATCCTCCCGACAAGACCTCCTCTGACCCCATCTGGTCTGAGGGCTGCCTCCTCCTGCTAGAAGTGCTGCCTAGGCAGAGCACACATGCTGAGGGTCTCCACCGGGCACGCCTGGTGTGTAGAGTGGGGTGGTGGTCCAGGAAGGTGCTGCCTAGAGCTGTCCTCGGTGCTGAACAGAACGTGCCTGGCAAAGCCCTCTGGGAGAGGCAGGGTCAGGTCACCCGCTCAGGAAGCTGAACTGCCCTTCTAGGTCCACGTCTATGCTGCCTCCACCATGAAGCCCACAGGAGGCTTTGCCTGCTCTGAGTACACTCAGCAGAGCGTCAAGGCCCCTCCCAGGATATCTATTGTCCATGACCTGGCATCATGGTCATTCCATGAGCTTAGCACCAAAGACAGAAGTCCTCCGGGCAGGGATCATTCTTTAGGCTCCTGCATCTGATACAGTTCCTGTGCGATGCTGTGCTGTGCCACCCACACCCCCTCAGCACTGAGGCACTCTTCCCCTAGCTTCTGGTGGTATGGTGGCTGACAGGTTATTGATTGGGTCCCTCCCTGGGAATTGCCCTCTCCGGAAGAGAGCTACCTCATCTAAGGTCAAGTCCACATCCAATGACTAGTCCATGTGAGGGTACAAAGACCTAGCCCTTTGCCTCATCTGGAACAGCCTGAAAGGCCTCCAGCTCCAGAGCTCTCTGGGACGGGCTGCAGCCTCTGTGGCAAGTGCTCGGCAGTTCAACCTCTCCCTGTGCCCAAAGCTGCCTCCCTCACCCACACAGGTATTGTTCCCAAAAGCCTCCCCAGCAAATTTCCTGAAGCAAATCTCTACCCCGGAGTCTATTTCCAGAGAACCCTACTTACAACAGTCACAATCCCTAACACAGTCCTGGGCTTAAGAAACGCCTGCAGAATGGATTAATGTCACATACAGACACACAATGACCTCTACACATCCGCTTCAGGCTTTTCCCTTCAGATGGAAGCCCCTGCATTGCTCCTTGCCCATGAACTTAAAGCACTTAAAGCCTCCCCACCTCTCTGTGCCTCCCCTTTCTCATCTGTAAGATGGGTATAGAGATGGAACCTACCCCTAATAGGCTGTTAGATGATTAAATGAAATAAGTAGCAAACGCACTTAGAACAGTACCCTATAGGTAGGCTGACCACATATCCCAGTTTGCCTGTGACAGTCTCAACCTTTCCTATTGTCCCCTCCCTCCCACCAAAAATATTTAATGGCATTCAGTTTCCATTGTGTCCTGGTCTGAATGATAAATTGTATGGTTATCCTACTCATAGGGAGTAAGCACTTGATAAGTATTAGCTATTATTTCTGCTGGAGGGACAACGGGTGGAGTTCTGCAGCCCAAACACGGCATCTGGTCCACCCACGCTCACTCATAATTACACACACGTCTGGACTCTCCCCAACACATCAACACACATGCTCTCACCCCTGCGCAGGCCTGGTACCCCAACAACACTCTCCCATGCTCCAAGGAACCCACGGCCGAGGGACGTGGGCACTGCCCAGACAGGAGGAGGTGTGCAGGACAGGGCCCAGAGAGAGAACTGCTCACTGTGAGGGTCCAAGGTGGCCCCAGCCCCGCTCCTTAGCCTGGAGACTGGGAGGGTCTGGGCTGCCCAAGGGCCCAGGGGCGGGCAGAGGAGCTCGAGGGAGACTGCCAGTTGGCCAAGGTGACCCTTCCCACCTCCACTACCCCGTACCTGCTATTCTCAAACGCAGTCACCAGACTGGACACAGATGACAGCTTCTCCTTACTCGCCCCCTCCATCCTGCAGGCCTCCAAGGTGGTCCTCAGCTACCCCTGAAGCAGGGAGAGAGGTCTCCAACCAGCACACTCAGCCACCCCCACCTGGGTCACAGGTGTGCTAAGGCATCCTGGAGTCCCGTTTTTCCTGAGGCCTCAGCAGGCCTGCTCCCTGCTTCAGAGTGAGGAAAGAGGAAGTGGTCCCAGAGCCACAGCCTTGAAGGGGAAAGGCGGGTGCTCCCTACAGAGGGAGGAGCCTGCTTGGGCCCCACCCCACCCCCACAGGGCCTGACCTTTCACTCCTGTAGACCCCCTGTTCCAGAAGCCACCCCAAGAGGGCAACGGGAGCCTAGAGGGAGTTTCTGGAACTGGGCTCTTGGCCTGAGACACTCACCACTCTGGCCAACCACACCTTCTCACAAGGTCCAGTGGATTTTATTTGGTCCTTTCTCTACAACTTCTTTTCTGCATCTGACCCTGCTCACCACTGTAAGAAAACAGCTTTTTAAATTAAAAATAAATCACAAACCTATTAGGGGCTGGCAGAGAAGAGTAATATGGTGTTCCCACCTCCCCACTGGGGTTCTCTCATTTTAATAACTGATGTCTCCACCTTCTTGCCCCAAGGGAAGGCAACTTCCTCCCTGAAACTCTGATGATAATAATAACTAACACAAACTCTTTTCAGTGGTTTAGAAATATTTTCTCATTTAATACCACAGCAACCTTATGGGGTGGGCCCTATTACGATCCCCATTTTACAGAAGAAAACACTGAGGATCAGAGGGTTTAAGTAACTTGCCCAAAGTCACCTAGTAAGAACGCAAAAGGAAGTCAGATTTCTAAAGCGAAGGTCAGTTTCCTACAATTCCAGCAAACATTTGGTTGGGAGCCTGGATGATCACATTCTTGATGCTCCATCCTCAGGCTTCCCTGTTCCTAGCACACTGGGTGGTCTCTGCCTGATGCCTCCTTTTACCACTTGGTCTCCCAGCACTTCCAGAACAATGATAACTGCTTCTGTTCCCCTTATTCAAGCTTCACAGGCCCTTCAGGGTTCTCCCATTGGGTTCTGGTCTCGCTTGCCCTGAGCTGGGGCCCTCCATTGAGACTGGTCTTTGTCCTGGAGGGTAGGGACTGAGCCTCAGTCATCTTGGTACCCGAAGCACCTGGCACAGCTTCACGCTCCAGTGCCTGTGAAATACTGGGGCCTCACACACCCAAAAGCCTCACTCCCTCAGAGCTCTGCCTGAGCAATTTCTTCTAGCAGATGCCTGGCTTCTCCCCCCAACCCTCAATCACAATAATCCTTCTCACTTTTTGTTTATACTTTTTGTTATGGAGAATTTAGAACATATGCAAAAGTAGAATAATACGATGCACCCCCATGAACTCATAACCCAGACCCAACAAACAACCATCAGCTCATGGTCAGCCCGGCTCCATCTATAGTCACATTCACTTCCCCTTCCCAGACCATTCTGAAGCAAATCAGATGATTTCACCCACAAATATTTTGGTGCATATCTAAAAAATAAGGAGGCTTCCCTCGTGGCACAGTGGTTAAGAATCCGCCTGCCAATGCAGGGGACATGGGTTCGAGCCCTGGTCCAGGAAGATCCCACATGCCGCGGAGCAACTAAGTCCGTGCGCCACAACTACTGAGCCTGCGCTCTAGAGCCCACGAGCCACAACTTCGGAAGCCCGCGTGCCTAGAGCCCGTGCTCTGCAACAAGAGAAGCCACCGCAATGAGAAGCCCGCACACCACAACGAAGAGTAGCTCCCACTTACCGCGACTAAAGAAAGCCCGCGCACGGCAACAAAGACCCAACGCAGCCAAAAATAAAATAAATTAATTAATCAATTAAAAAAATTTTAAATGCACATGCAATTTGATCCAGCGTTCTCATTTCTTCCTGTTGCCTATACAAATATATTTCTTCCTCTGTGCAAAAATGTTAGGTCTACAAAGTATTCAGTGTAACCTTGGTTATGATAGCACATAA